AGGGTCGGAAATGCAGAGAAGGATGGGAGTGCAGAGAGGATGTCTTTCCGGAATATTCGATATCCATTGGTACAGCTGCTAGAGCAAAAGGATAGCTAGTGTATAGGCTCATAAAGGACGGAGCAAGCTGTTTGATGGGCCGGAGATTGCGTGAATTGACAACATCTGCAAAGACGCGATTTTCCGATGGAACTCCGGAAATGCTTTCCAGGAGGTTTCGGAAGGGATGCAACAGACCGGAAATCAATGGTCCGGAGGTCAACACTGGTCAGGTGGAGGTGGATACTGAAATGGGCCGGCTCCTTCTAGCTCGCAAGTCCTGCAACAGGCGACTGCGTTAACTAGGGATATATAGTCGGTTTTATCGGTGGAGGTGACACAGTGGACTTGGAAGTGGGTTTGTCAGATTAGGGTCGGATGTGGTCGGAAAACATGATAGGAGGTCCGGACGTAAGTGTTTGGCAATGCCAGGGTCTATGGTGAAATATCCGATGGGAGTCAGAACGGATATTGAGTCGGAAAAGCGGAGGAAGAGAACAGATCATCGGAGGAGATGTATGTGATATGACAGAGGTGTTTGCAAGTGGTTCGGAATTCCGGAGTTCCGGATGATAGGGGCTATGGCGTGGAAACCCATAGGAGGTGGATCGGAACATAGAGGAAGTGAGGTGGAAGTGCAGTCAAACACGATGGTACACTAGGCAGTGAAGTCAAATGCATCGGATGACTATCAATGGCCTAGAAAGATCATGGATGAATAGTTCCGGATGTATTCCAATGATATGCAATGTAATGTGCGCTTTTCCCGCGGTTTTCCGGAGCTGATCCGGCCGGAAATACGACTGAATGGTCCGGATAGGTTATGGGTCGGATAGGAAAGCTGCACATGCATGGATGATTGTGCAAGACAGTGGAAATTGTTCCTTTATGGGACGGAGCAAGTAAATTCCGGGTGGAACACAAGCTGAAGAGGGTGAAGTGAATACTCAAGCGGAGTCCCTATCCCCCCTTTTGGAAGATGTTTCCAAACATCAATGGAGGAAAAATGGGCACAGGGTTCCGGCAGGAGCTTCGGATTTTCGGAGGAAACTGGACGTGAGTCACAAGAGTGAACAGAATGGAACGGAAGATACAATGCAACGCAGGACTGTAGTGCTAAAAACTTCGGAGGTATCACCAGTGCTTTTCCGGATCCGAAACAGATTCCAGAGAAGACACTATTGAATGGTGAGGGATTTTAAGACAGGAGCGGAAGCGGGTCCGAAGCAACTCCAAGCTATTGCAAAGTATATCCATTCCAAATGGAGGCGGTCCAGAGACAAGGGGTGCATTGGAGGTAGGAGTAGGAGCTTCCATGAAGAAAGCCACCGGAAATCCGGAGTATTGAGCTCCGGAAATAGGGGTAAAGGTCGGACATTGGTATCCGGAGAAAAAAGGACGGGAGGACAGATGGAAGGATTGCAGAGTGGAAAAGTGAGGACGGAGGATGGACAATTGTATAAAACATGTCCGGGCTATGGCATGGAATACCCATAGGAGTGTTTCGGATCCGGAGCAGGTGTAACTTGTCCTGGAGCGGAGGAGTGAACAGATCTTTTGGAAACATGGAGATTTGACAATGGAATGTACGGATGAGCTATAACGCGAAGGAATGCTTTGGTACTGAAAAGTCCGGACGTCCGAAGATATCCAAAGATATCCAGAGCTTATCCAAAGCTATCCAAAGCTATCCGGAGCCATAACACGAAGGAATACTTTGATACTGAAAAGTCCGGATGTCCGAAGATATCCGAAGCTATCCGGAGCTTATCCGAAGCTATTGGAGTGGACGTGGTATCAGTAACAGTAAAGAACAATCGCAAAGCATGTTTATTCTGATCCGGAAAAGTTCAGAGATGACAAGGAGCAAACCGGAGTTATAGATCGGAGGGGCAGAGACCTTCATCAAGAAAGCCAATAGAGATCCGGAGTTACAAACTTCCGGAAAATAGGGGTAAAACGCGGAGACGTTCGGAAAGTTGTTGATTCGGACGGGATGTCGGATGTAAGAACTGACAGGCTTCTGGAGAGGAACAGATGGTTTTCCAGGACCTACTTCCGGAGAATGAATCGGAGGAGCTCCGGAGTTTTGGTTCGAAGGTCCGGAGGTGGATAATGAAGCCAGGAAATGGTCAGGAATTTGCATAGGATGTAACGGAAGCAAAATTCCTATTTTCCCTTTCAGGAGACATTCCCAATGTCGGAGGAGAATCAACAAAGAATTTCCGGGCGGTGGAAGGGAAAATAGGGGCTAGAGCGGAGGAAAGAGTGCCATCCGGATTCGGAGGCAGGAACCTGAGCGGGCCTTTGTCAGAGGAATCAAAACCCGAACACTTGGCAGGAAAATCATCATGAAAGACGGAGTTCCTCTACAAGGAGGGTAGTGGAGACCAATACAAGGTGAATGCTAATCAGGTTGCGGATAGGAATGGTAGATAGGGGTCCGGACTTTGACCGGAGGAGGTGCCATCCAACATGGAGGCGGACTGGAAATCAACCAGTGGAAGGAAAACATGGCTAGTCCGAAGATAGGGGTTCCGCAAAAAAGCGGATTTGACGTCGGAGGTCTAAGGCATTTCCTGTAGTACCAATCGGAAAGGAGGTCTGCAAAATACCCTATTGATCAACGGATCATGGTGGGTGAGCAAGTATATTCTAGGTGGTACGAGGAGAATCCAAATGAGTTGAATGTTTGGGACATTCCGGAGTTGACTTTGCCAGTTCAGGAAATAGTTCGGAAACGGAAAACATCGGAGTTACAGGGAACTGTGGGGCGTCGGAAAGATAGGATTGGATCAGGGAATTACAGGACATCAAGTCCGAAAACCTATTTGTTCTGCCACGGAGGTGACAATCCTGTTTGGTTTCAGGACCGGAGTGTCATGATACTGAAGTGGAAATGACAGCAGAGCATGAAGGGTGGAAATTGAGCATTCCGGCGGATGTTTACAGATGCAGGGAATGGAGAATGAGCTCCGGAAAATCCGGAGTTTTCATCGGAAATGGGATACAGGAAAATGGAGGGTTCGGAGGAGGAATACACAGTTTCCAAGGGACGGTGTCGGATCCGATTTCAGGTATGATCTAAGGATTCAGTATACTCGGTAAGGTGTGAGTCTGAATATACTGTTAAGACCATGCACAAAGGGTAGGACTGATTCCAAGGGGCTTGGCTTCAGCTCGTGCGCTGCGCCCCTTACCCGAGTATGTGCCCTTAACTTCAGAATGAAGTCCGGAGAAAGTCCAGTGAAGTCCGAAGGACTTCCGGAGGAGCGTGGGAAACTTCGGAAGGACTTTCCGGACGAGTGCGAGAAACTTCCGGATGAGCGCGGGAAAGTTCCGGAGGAACTTCCGGAAATTACGATGGAGTTTCGTCCTGACGGGGATATGTATAATGGCTACTCAGGACTCGTCCTGAGTAGAAGGAAACAGAGGAAAGGCTGCAAGGACAAAGTCCGAAGCAGAATAGGTCCGGAGGACCGCGGGAAAGTTCCGGAGGAACTTCCGGAAACTCGGAGGAATGGAGGATCGGATGAGTGGATGAGTGGAGGATCGGAGGAGCGGAGGAGCGGAGGAGCGGAGGAGCGGAGGAGCGGAGGAGCGGAGGAGCGGAGGAGCGGAGGAGCGGAGCTCCGGCCTAGGGAATTCCTCCCTAGGCCTGAGATGGATGATTACTAAGTCGGAGGAATAGAACTGTTACGAGGACTTAGTGTGAAGACTAGTGCGAGGACTAATATGTGTATGATATTCAGACTGAGGAAATACAGGAGTATCTACTGGGGTTTATATACTAGAGGCAAGTCTGTGCAGATCAGTAAGCAGAGGGGTAAGGCTATGTACGAGCATGTGGAAATGTATTAGAAAATAAGACGGATCATAGGAAATGAACTCGGAGATGAAATGAGGTACGGAAAATGAGGAAGTCTAACTCAAGAAGGAACATACAAAGGGATAAGGCACGGAAGATAGACGCGGGTCGGATCCGGATGTCCGGAGATGAATGCGTGATAGGTCTGGGTCCGGAACGCAAGGAAGATAGACGTGGGTCGGATCCGGATGTTCGGAAGTCCGGAGACAGGTGATTACCATAAGGGGATGGGCGCTGATTTAAGGTTTGGGTTCGGACATGACAGATAGGTCGGATCCGGAGATCCGGAGATGTGGATATCAGATCTGGCATCCGGATATCAGATGCAGGAGTACAGGGATCCGGACGGATAGAGGATTGGGTCTGGAGACATGGACAGGAGGTCCGGAGGTCCGGATGAGGCGTGGGAACGTCGTCAGATGTTGGTCCGGAATGCGGGATATGACACAGCCTTTCCTCTGTTTGCTTCTACTCAGGACTTGTCCTGAGTAGCCATTACACATATCCCCGTCAGGACGAAACTCCATCGTAATTTCCGGAAGTTCCTCCGGAACTTTCCCGCACTCATCCGGAAGTTTCTCGCACTCGTCCGGAAAGTCTTTCCGAAGTTTCCCACGCTTCTCCGGAAGTCCTTCGGACTTCACTGGACTTTCTCCGGACTTCATTCTGAAGTTAAGGGCACATACTCGGGTAAGGGGCGCAGCGCACGAGCTGAAGCCAAGCCCCTTGGAATCAGTCCTACCCTTTGTGCATGGTCTTAACAAAGTCAATGTGTCCGTCAATCACCCGAACCCCAAAATTGTGGACTGCCGGGTTTCGGGGTTCGGGGGTCCCGGAACTCGGAACTCGGTATGAGACAACAAAAATATATTTCGGGGTTTGGAGGTTAGTAAAATGTTTATAGATATACGGAGGTTGATAGAAACATGTTTGAAAAATGATGTTCGTCTCAAATGTCAAATCTTGAGTTCCGGGCTTTGGGACTCGGCACCCGGCACCCGGCACTCGGGGTTTGGCACTGAAAATTTGACATTCGGGTGTTAGGGTGTAGGGTGATATCTACCTCAATCTACAGTTTCGAGTTCTGGATATCGGGACTGATTATTGAATCATTCAATTGTGGGATAGGTAACATGCATTGAAAAAGATTTATGTACATCTATCACTGAGCAATTATGTAGCCATTGCAACCTCCTCACCAGGAAGATCAACCTTCCCCTCAACATCCATATCCTCATCAGAGGAATCATATTCTGGCAGGAGGTTACCTGGTTCATTAGGGACCACAATATTGCCGGAGGATTCTGGCAAGAGGTTGCCTGGTTCATCCGGGAGCACAATTTCGCCGGAGGATTGTGGACCCTCAGGCTGAACTTGGGTGGGCTCAACCATGAGACCTACCATAGCAGATCCATCCTCAACCATCAAGGGTGTGGGTTCCATGACTGACATGTCCAAATCAATGAGGTTGGAAAGTGTGGAGGGGAGGGGTGAAATGGACGGGGGGGACCAGATTGATCAAGCAAGATTGTTGCATCGGCCGGTGTGTCCGGAAGTGAAAATGAAGGGTGCGGGTCGACCATCGTGTGCCGGGGGCTCTCATGGAGGCGTTGCAGGGTATCAATCTTAGCATCCTGCTCCTGCACCCGAGCCTCAAGAATAGCGATGCGAGCTGCACCATCCCGAATCGCGATTGCCATGGAATGGAGATCCGGCATGGGAAGACCGAACAGCTAAGTCAAAAATAAGGTCAGCCGGTCATCAAAAGTGTGGGTGACTTACGAGCTGGCGCAGGTGCAGGTGCAGGTGCAGGTGCAGGTGTCTTCTTGGTAGTGATGGTCTTGCTGCGACCACGTGACTGCACCTGGGGTGTACTTGCAGCAGGGATGGCCGGAGTTCGGGATGGGCCACGAGATTGACTACGAGTCCGGGCCCTTGACCGGGAGGGAGACGGAGCAGTGGATGGAGCAGGGGCAGGTGTCTTAGAACACGTCCGTCCCGTGGTAGACTTCCCTCGGGTCCGTTTGGGCGGGGATCCCAGAGATGCCGGGTTGCATTTGATCTTCTTGGTGGAGCAGTGGATGCAAGACAAGCAGGGGAGGCTGGACCTCTTGTCCAAACGAGTCGCACAGGGCCAATTCTCCTTGACGCAATAATGGCAGGGGTTGTTCTGTGGTATCCGTTAGTAGATGGACTAGGGGAATTAATTGAGCACTCACTGGGCCGGGAATGGTGATATCAAATGTGGTAGTGGCCGGAGGGTCACCGTCCGAAGCGCTGGAAGTATCACCAGTGGACTCCTCAACTTCCGGACGACTGCCGGAGGTTGCCTGATAAATTGTGAGTACACATGTGAATTCCGGGCGAGCTTGTAAGACTTACCCGAGCCTCTGGACGACTGATGGGAGATTCCTAATGCGATGGGCATGAGTAAGAATGATACATGTGAGTTCCGGACCTGTCCGGAAGACTCACCATGACCTCCAGATGCTTGCTGGCAGTCAGCTGTGGACACATGAGCATATATATGAGTTCCGGACGACTAAATCAGACTTACCGAAGCAGGCCCAAATGATTGCTTCTTGGGGGAACCAGGTGAACGAGGCAACTGGGGCTTCCTTACAACAATGGTGGAGAGCTGGGGAAGGACGACCTCCGGCACTCCACGTGAAATCGGCTACAACAAATTGAGAGCATGTCACAAATGAGCCAGAACACATACCTGAACAATTGGGTCTTCATCATCTTTCGACTCCACAAACAGCTTTGACTTGGGGGGTCCAGTTGACTTGACACGCTTGTGACCCTTCATCGCCGACTTCGGAGGTTGGGAGGAGTGTCCAGAAATCATGGGGGACTTCCTCTTGTTGCTCCCTCCGACTTCCGGCTCCAAGTCAACAGAAATGGCCTTACCTTTTCCTTTGTCCCGGAACTCGGAGGTCATCTTGCCGGAAGGTCCGGCGACATTGCCGGCGACGACGGGAGGGGAGTGAATGACAGTGGCGGGGGAAGGGACAGGTGCGGGGGAAGGGACAGGTGGAGACGGAAGATTGACAGTCAGTGGGCCAGTGGAAGGATTAGAAACAACAGGGAGATCACAGGAATTGTCACCCAACGCCTCCCAGGCACGGACCTGCTTGCGCCAGGCGTGTCTAGCCACCCGGGGATCATCATGGCCAATGCTGTGCCAGTTGGGCAACACCTGGGGAGTCATGGAACGCACCCTCATCAGCTCCTTAGAACAGGAAGCCACAATGCCAGGGATGTAATCCCCTTTCTCATGCACCCGGATGATGTCAGCCTACCCGGATATTAGAAACATCAATGGTAAACTAATTTAATAAGTGCAACTTACCAACCAATTGGTGACCTGCCTTGCCAGAGCAATGTGGACGTGCACTGAGCCGGCCGGGACATGCCAGGCGCCGGCAATGATGCCCACAAGTTGAGCAGTGGATGCCTTGAGGTCGGCCAATGAAGATTGAACTGGAGTAGACATTTGGATTGAGTTGACAGATGTGAGAATGTTGAAAGCAGGGTGAAATCTGTTATCACTAGAATGAAGTTTCAAAGAAACAATACAATTGAAGGACAATGTTGAAAATCATTGATTGTTTGTCTTTGTTTGGTCATGGTTCAACTTTCGGCAATCGCCGGCCATGTGTTGAACTTCGACGTTATCTGTTATCAATCAGTTCATCAGTTCATCAGCTCATCAGATATCATGAGCTCTCAACCTGGGGTCAGATTTCATGACCCTCCGGTCACTGAATCCACCTCAATGGATGTGGATGAGACCTCCCAGTCCTGGATGTCCCTTGGTATGTTTTGTTTCTGCTGATTTCAGTGAATTGATCTTACATGGTTTAGATCCATTAGATGATATATACCTTGGGCCGGATGATGAGTTAGACTCTGATTCTGGGTCATCCAGTGGTTTGGATTCGTTAAATGCGATTCCCGGTATGTTTCTCAATTCAAATGTACATATTCTACATGTGCAAATCCATCGCATACTTCCAGATCCGTCATATCCGGCCCTGGCAGATGGACTGGCCCTGTACGATGACCCGGACTTGTATCTTGGTCCGGAGGATACCTTTATTTCGTCTGATGATGCTCCGGCTGTACCCAATTTTTCTATGGCTGGTGAGGTTATTCTTTTCATCTCATGTTCATTTTTCATGGCATTTCCCCAGTGAATGAATCGACTCCCGAACCTCATCCGGCCACTCCGGCTGTACCAGAGGCACCCATACCTTGTACGTGTATTCATATCATGTCATGTGTTCTATTCATGTTATCTCCCAAGCGAATTCAGAAACTCCCGAATGTCAATCGCCCGAGCCAGAACTCAACAATGAAGAACTGCGTGCCATGGTTCAGGAGTTCATGCCAATCGGATCTTATGATCAAGCTGAAAGTATGTATACAACAGTTGATTATTTATCTCTGCTAATGTTCTGCAAGTTCAAACAATTGTAGATCGCCTGGGTGATTATGAACAGAGTCATGGAAATCTTCCTGCCCCTACAGTAGCACAACTTCTTGAGGCTGACAGACCATTCAGGATGGCATGGGCTGAAACATGCGACAAACTGCGGAAAGCAGATGCGGACCTCCGGAGGATGCAAAGGGTAAGGGAGTCAACCTCCGAAATGCTGAAGGTATTAGATACCCTCATTGAGTTCTTTGAGGACTCAAGTAACATGTAAATATCGATCAATGTCTGATAGTAGACACATTGCAGTATACTTTACCTACTCAGTACTTAGTCCTTCCTCGCTGCCCAGTGTTCTGTGCTCGGTACTAGGTGCTCGGTGCCCGGTGATCGGGGTTCGGGGTTTGGTACTCGGGGTTTGGTGCAGTATACTTTGCCTGCTCAGTACTTAGTACTTGGTACTTGTATACTTTACCTACTCAGTACTTAGTCCTTGGTACTTGTATACTCCACCTACTCAGTCCTCGCTGCCCAGTGTTCTGTGCTCAGTACTCGGTACTCGGTACTCAGTACTAGGTGCTCGGTGCCCGGTGATCGGGGTTCGGGGTTCGGAACTTGGGGTTCGGTACTCGGGCCTTGGTACTGGAGATTTGGGATTTAAGATTAGGTCGTTAGTACTTTGACATATACACAATAGCACATATGACATTACACATGACGGCAGGAAGATATATCTACATTAAGTGCGTCCCTGTGCTCTGGTTACTCTAGGTGTACTGTCTACTGGCATTTGCAACTTACTCCGGGTCGTCCTCGTGGATGGTTCAACTGTGACTTTCTTGCCCCGCCCCCTTTTCTGTGCCGGCGGCGTGATACTCTCTTCCATTTCAACATCCTCTCTAACTTCGCTGGTCGCGTCTTCAGTTAACCCAGCAAGGAGGTTGCCCATTCTTGATGTCAGTAATGCACCTTTTTTGGCCGGCTTGGCCAGGCGAGGCTTTGGAATTGCACGTGGGACTGCCGTCCCTTTTGGTGTAGGACCTCCCGTCCTGGGTTTCTTCAGCGGATGTCTCCCGTCAGCCAGGTCATCATCCACATCATCCTCCGTATGATTAGTGGCACTCTCCTTATCACTCTCAGCTTCTGTCGACGAATCCCGAGGCCCTCGGATAGTAACCCTCTGCTGCTTTCTCACTATACTAGTCTGAGGAGAGGGCGACTTGCCAGATATGACAGATGGTACCATGTCCCCATCTTTGTTCTTCCATGCTTTGAACAGAAATGTGGGACCTTCTCCTGTTTCCTGCTGAGCATGCTAGAAATGGAGCAAGGCAGTCATGTCCCAATCTTGCAGCTTTGAAGGCTCCTTCAAGTCAACATCTGCCGGAAGATATGTCCGGGCCACGAAGTCATCCTGACTTTGTACAATGGCACTCCATGGTACGACCGCCTTGTCCTTCCCGGAACATATCCCTGTGTCCATGCATTGAACAATTTGTCAGATGATGCGACGAGAAACTCACGATAGTGCGATGTAAGAAAGGCCCTCACTATGGCCTTCTTCTCCTCAAGTTTCGTGTCGGTGATGTCGGGAAGGAGTGGCATACCCTCCCCATCCATTTCTAGTTTGAAAGCTGGTTTTTGAATTCTTTTTCGACCTCCCTTGACCTGACGTCCTCCATCCCGTGCCCCGGCACCTATCATCATGATGCTCGACATGTTCAATCTGGTATACATGGTTCAAACACTCACCGAACTGTTCCTGCGCATACTCCTGCCACACTGGCTCAATGTCCTCCCAGTCCTTTGTCTTCATGAAGCTGTCCCCGTCTCCTAAGGCCTCGTTATCATCATGCCTGCATGAATATTTTGAGATGAAAGATCCGTGTCAATGGGTAAATGTACTCACATCCCGAACAGCACCTCTCCCTTTTCATTCTTCCAAGCCGACATCACAAAAACTCTCATCCCACATTGCCTCCACATCTCGTTCGAAAAGTGCTCCATATATGCCGGACCCTTCTTACGGGCGACTTGTGCTTGTATCTCCAGAGGCGGACAGTTGTTGGACCACTCTTCCGCTGTTTCTTTCGCCTTCTCCAACTCGTTGTCGTCCAATTCAGCCATGACTCTCTTCACCGCCACCTGATAATGTTTGAACATACCAGGATCTCCGGGCTTTACCCCCGACTCGTCCTCAATCCTCTTCAGCACCTCTTCGCGTTTCTGCTGGTAGACCACCATCCTGGGCGTCCATTTCCTCCCATACTTGATGGTGTCCTTCCTTTCCTTCTTTTTCTTGTTGTTGAACAACCAAGTCTTGTACACCTAAGATTTGATGAAAAAATGTGATGTTGAAAATTTAGTTTTTCAACGCAACAAAGGAGCATCACCTGCTTCCTCTTTTTCCATTGTTTTTGGTCCACCTTAGGAGCAAACAACCTGGCTGCCCTTGCTATGGCAGTGAAAATCCCCCTCTTCTCACTCCTTTTGGCGGCAGTCCACTCAGGAAGGTAGTTCTTCAACTCCAAAATCTCCTTGTCTGTGAGCTTCTGCGACTGTGGTTGACGCGCCCTGTGTCTTCCGGAAGTCGTGTTGGTGGAATGACCTGTTCTTGCCATAGTGAATCAGCATGCAGAACGGGCTGAGGATTTGCAAGGTAGAAGTATTAATGAATTGTGCGAAGTTGAACTTCAAGCAAAGCCTAATAATCGGTTAATCAGCCCATATTTGACAAGAATCCATTAATGGAAATGAATTTGTAATGAGCCAACAGGACTGCACAGCATCATATTGCAATAACAATTCATTACACCTGAGCTGATGCCTTGCTTGCAACATTAGTAAACAAGATGAAGATAGGTAGATGCACCCCAGTGCAAAAATCTCACAGGGTGGAAGCAAGGGGCAGCAAAGGTAGGAAGAC